AAAGTCCAAGCCCCATGGAGAAGTCGTGTGTGAGCCATCTAGCTGACAGGCACAAGCCCATGTGAGTAAAGGAAACTCCAGACGATTCTGGCTCCCAGCAGATTATGTAGACCCCAACCATTTGAGTCTTCCCAGCTGAGAATCAATCACACATAGTCAAAGATAACAAAGTTGGTCACTAAAAAAGAGTGCAAAAACATTTTATTCAAGACTCTTGTGGTGGAGGAGAGATCCCGGTGAAATCCGAGTGCAGCTTTGATTTGTGCAGAGCTCACTGGATATTTTAAAGTGAAAATAAGGGAACGAGTGAGGGTTTGAGCAGAGTCAGGAAAGGAAAAAGTTACAAAAGGCAGGTGGAGAGTTGGTCCATGTGAATAGGCCCTCTGTGTCAGCTGACTGGCATTTATCAAAGGTAGACTTCTACCCTCCGGTGGAGACTGGGAGCTGTGGGCCCTGTCCTTCCTGATGATCACATTTCAAAGGAATGGCTTTCAGGTCCCCAAGAAAGACACTTCTGGGTTGGAGGACATATGCATTCTCATGCACACAGCACACACACGCACACACACACATTTTATACCACACAGACGGCATATACCACATGTACCTCTCCAAGGGTCCGAGAAAAGATCCACAATTATAAGGTTTTAATGAATGCCCCTAAGAAAAGGGAGATCAGGGGCCCCTGTCAGGCACTGGCTGGAATAGACAGTAAATTCTCGGGCAGTCTTTCCAAATGGGAACATGGGAGAAGGAGTGGGGTTGGGTCATCAAAGGGGCTCTGCCCTAGGCTGTTAGACATCATGCTAGCGTTCAGCCTGGTCTCTTAGTGCGAGGGTTTGGATGGAATTGTCTGTGCTGAGAATTTTCAGTCCTCAATATCACGGAGCTGAGACAAGCTGTCCTTCTGTGCTCTGTCGGAATCACTGCTCCACAGATGTGAGTTCATGATGACACGGTGACTGTTTTTGCCACAGTAGTGTGGGAGTAATTGGAATGCAGGGAGAGTAACTGGAAGAGTGCCGTTCTTCTGATCCAACAGGAGGAGCCCCTTCGCTTCCTGCCACTGCCCAGTGTAAACCAAGCAGCCTATTTAAGGGCCTCCTTGGAGTCAGGGTCTGAAGAACACTCAGCAGTCGGTTACCACGGGCTGAAACTGGAAAAGTGCCTTGTTATTCTTGGCATTCTGCCCATGGAAGAGCTCCAGAGTGCTGTGGAGTGGTGGTGAGGGATAAGTCGCCAGTCTTCAAAGCTTTATCCACTATTACAGGAAAAATTGGACCAGCAACCCTCTAATGAAGGGGTTGTGGTAAGGAACTGTATAGGAAAGGAGGGCCAGGGGGTGTATAGTTGGGTTTTCACTATGTATATATTCTAAGAAGATATTGTGTCACAGATTCTCAGCCGATCAGACCTCAGAGAACACTGAATTCGGTCTTAATCATTGCCACTAAAGTTTACCTAAGGCAGAGGAGATACCTGGGGGCTAGACCTGAGTGGCCCCCACAATTGATGAAATACCTTTGAAGTCTCCTATTCTATTTAAAAAATTTATACTTCACACCCTATAATATGTATTTTATTTTAAAACTGCTTCCATTCCCCCAACACTGGATCCAGAAGTTGCATTCTGTTTTCCTATAGTTTTAACATCCCTTGGACACCTGGACTTTGCTCAACACCCTCCTTCACAAGGACAGCCATCCACAGCTCCATTTATTCATCTTTATCCGGCATTTACTAAGAACTATGGATATAAACTGGGTGCAGTGGCATGTGCCTATAATCCCTGCAGCTTGGGAGGCTGAGACAGGAGAACTGTAAGTTCAAGTCAGCCTCAGGAACTTAGGAGGCCCTAAATAAATTAACAAAAAAGTAAAAAAGGGCTGGGATGTGGCTCAGTGGTTAAGCACCCCTGGGTTCAATCCCTAGTATCAAAAAAAAAAAAAAAAAGCAAAAAACTAAGGGTATAATGATGGATTAAGAAGTGCTCTTGCCATCAGGGAGGCTGATGGTTCACTGCAAGAGACATAAATGTAAATAAATTGTTCTTAAGACTTTCCCACAGTCTATAGCTCATTGGTGGTGGGACTGAGACTTAGCATCCAGTTTTTGTGCTTGTAGTTTAGTCTGATTCATTCCCCACCATACCACCTCTCCATCAAACACTGGAAAGGCCTTGGGAATGGATTAACAGCTCACATTAGCGAAGTAGAAACACTGAGCTCTTGAGTTTGTACCCTGGAACCTGCATGGGTGAGTATTTCACAGGGGTACATTGTATTTCCAGACACGGTTGATTCCGGAAGGTTGCTTGAATGTTTCTGGTACCTGTAATTAATTGTTCATGACTGGCTAGGATGGTTACCTTTGGTCTCTGTGTTGGGTCTGAATGGCTTACAAACTTCAACTTCTAAAATAATCTTCTATCTCTCAGTTGCTAAAATTATGCCACTTGTTCCTCCAACCTCCTTAACTTGCCATCAATTAATTTAATCAACATATTTTTATTGAGCACACATTATGTGCCAGGCAGTGGACTAGGTTTACACATAGAAATACGAAACCATGTTTTCCCTTTCTTGAGAGGACCGAGTCCAGAGGTGGACCTAGGAGTGGCACCTAGGCAAAAGTCTTGTTAGCAGGACTTCTGGTCCTTGCCAGCCTGGAGGGCAAGTCACAGTAAAGGGTTAACATTTCACTGGTTCTATGCCTACTTCTGAGGGATAGGATTCCAGTCCTTGTAAACTTCTGATAATTCTGGGTGCAATGAGAGCACGTCTTCTGTGGACTAGTCTCTGCGTGTCTTTCTCTTCTGCAGCATTGTCTTCCTGTCTTGCTGCAACTAGCTGTGGGGATGTCTCCCACTTGCTCCCACAGCCAAAGAAGCTCTGCAGTCATGGTGCCAGAGGAGCCACCATCTCTACTGGCTTTTGGGCAGGAGAGCTCCCAGCTGGCTGATGTCAGAGGTCACGCTCCAGATGGACTGTCCTGCTGTCCAGGAATCCCTTGATACTGCCTGAGCCCAGGAACCACCTCTCATCACCGCAGAGGCTGCAGCACTGTCCCTGAAGACCCTGCACTTGGCAACATGAAGTTATAGCGCCCCCTAGGCATGAAGTGATAGCTGCTCTACCACTAAAGGGAGGGAGCCTGGCCACTGACCAGGGGGAGTGAACATAGAGGATAGAGGAAATGGCCGCCTCGTGGATGTCTGTGTTTGCTTCCATAGTACTTCCAAGTCTTTTCATTAGGAACTTAAAAAAAAAAATTCACATCATTCTTTAAGAGTTTGTGAGAAAGGAGCCATATATCTCCTTCCCCATTCCTTCCTTTCATTCTAAATTTATCTCCCTTCCATACAGGCAAAAAGACTGCATTCCCAGGGGGAATATTTGGATATCCCTTTGGGGTCTTTATGCCCCTGTCACATGCTCTGCCCAGTGCAGGAAGAGTTGTTGATATCGATGGCCATGATAACCTAAATGATTAGGATAGGGGGAGGGGTCCATCCCCCTCCCCCCACACACCCCCTCCCCCATAGGCCTACAGTCTCCCTGCTGCCTGCCATGGTGGAGGTGGGGGGATAAGACATAAAGGTAGGAAACCTCTTCCATTTACACCCAAGACATACTCCCCAAGCCTGTGTCACCATTAGTAAAGCTGATATTTTTTAAAAATATTTTTTTTAGTTGCAGATGAACACAATACCTTTATTTTGTTTATTTTTATGTGGTGCTGAGGATCGAACCCAGTGCCTCACACATGTTAGGTGAGCGCTCTACCACTGAGCCCTAGCCCCAGCCCAGTAAAGTTGATATTTTGATCAACTTTATGTCTACTCTTAGTCTAATTTGAAACCTCAGTTGGAAGTGAATGATGAAACCAAACCTATAACATATTACATTTCCATTTTTCTTGCTTTTCATTTATTGCCCTAAATCTAAGGATGGGAACACCAGAGTCCCCAGCAGCCAGCCTAAGACTTGGGAGCCATGTCATTATCATGCCTCCCCTCAAGGAGGCTTTTACTGAGCCAGTGGGTCTTGAATTCTGTGCATTTCCCCCCTTCTCTTGAGCTTTTCTGACTACATCTCAAGTTCTTTTTTGAGGTTTAAATTTTTAAGTTAAGCTCAGTTACTCAACCCAGTACCCCTGCTACTTGCAGTGATAATTTTTTTTAGGACGGGGTTTTTCAGTTTCAGAACCACTGATATTCTGAGCCAGGTAACAGTCTGGATGTTGTCCTGTAGAACACACAATGGCATCTTTGGCCTCTGTACTCACTAGAGGCCAGTAGCACTCTCTCCCCCATCTCCAGTTGTGAGAATTCAAAGCATTCCAGACTTTGTCAAATATCTTCTGAAGAACAAATTCACCCCTGATTAATGGTCATAGAATCATTTTTACTGTGCAAACAGGAGGTACTCATAACCTTCTGTGATGCCTGCTTGACTTAAAATAGATTTCCTACCACCCCATTCATATTCTCAAGCATCCTATGAATCAGCTATATGATCCAGCCAGCACCTCTCTCCCTCAATTCTATTACTTAATTCTATATGCCGAGGGGATTCCATCTCTGTACTTACAAATTCTACCTTTACTGGTGTACTGTGTTTGAAAAATGATCAGGCTCCCAAAGCAAATTTCTCTAGAGGTGAGTTATTTTCTCTTAAACATTATGTCTATACTTAGGATAGATGGGAGAATAGGTTATTCTAGGAACTGCATGTCTGAAAACTTAGATTCAGTATTATGGGGAATTGTAGGCATTGCTTCAGATTGTCATATAAAAGACTGTCAGTTGTTGCATATTCATGAGAGAAGACCTAAGTCCTACTTCATCTGGGATATGACTCATCTGGGCTGTGGTAGAAGAAATTCTGAAAGAAGCGTGGAAGGGAGAAATTGATAGCATCCTTCTCTGGGTTGCCAAGCTCCAAGGTGAGTGATGAGAGTCTTGCAGTAGGGGGAAATGAATCACATGGAAACACCAATGAGTTTGATCATTTATTGATGCCACACAAAGGCAGGCTATGATTACAGTCTGACTTTAAGTACTGAAGCACCCACCAAAGTACCCCTCAGGGAGGCCAAGACAGAGGGCTGGTGAGGCAGATTAGAGACACAGGGAGAGCAACAGGTTGGGTCATGGGTGTCAGGCAACTACTTTGAAGGACAATGATAAGTAGAAATGTGCTTTCCCACCATGTTATTTTTAATGACATAACTTAATAATACTCAAAGTAGCAATATAAACAGCAAGAAATATGCTGGCTAGGTTATAGCACCAGGAAGTTCATGTCATGTGGTCTCTCCTGGGAAAGTGGATCACTGTGGATTGAGCACCAGATAAGCTTTCTCAGAGCTTCATCGTCAAGTCACAAAGGATAAAGCCGAGACCTATACTCTCTGGGGTAGCAATGTGTAACTTTCAGAGTTTGGAGGATTATAATCAATTCCATGGTCTAAAATAATATAATCCCTCAGACTGTGTTACTTAATGGAGGGTATCAAAAACATCCCCTTGACTGTCAGAGAGCATCTCACTGGATGCTAGTATAGACTTGGGCTGTCTCTGGAAATGGGATGATAATGCACTCTTGTTTAAGAAAAGCTTTCAAAAACAGAGCATCCCTTCACGAGGAGGGAAATCCTTGTACCATGAAGCAATTTTCTGGCTTTAAGAAAATACTATTAAGTTTCTTAGAATATTGTTCTTTCATGGTGTACTTATATTTTGGTGTTCAAGAATTAAATTAATCCACAACTTTTTAGTGAAGAACTAACTCTATCACTGTGAAAGGCAATGTAAACCAAACTATATTTTAGAATCTAATGTATTTATGCACCACGCCCTGTAGTAGCCCTCTTGGGTTAGATAATGTTTCCAGTGTCTCTTGGCATACTTCTCACCTGCTCGTCCAAGGTGGGGAGAAAGGAGGATCTGGATGAAGTAAAACAATAATTCTGCTTTGTGTTGGCCCCTGTGGGCATCAAAGAAACAAAGACACCATCCAGATTCTTGCCTTCAGAGTCTTCCAGTTGATCTAAGGCCCCTTTACTACTGCAAGCACGGGGATCTGCCTGCAGAATGCTCATCGCTGACCACCTGTAGCTGAGTGACTGAGAATAACTCATGACAAGGACACATGATGCATGACAGACAACTGTTCCACAATGCAGCCTCAGTACAGGAAGTGAATGTCCAAGACTCAGGACCAGGGGCCAAATTTCTGCCCTTGAGAAACTGAAGAAAGATCTAGAAGAGAGCACCTGGCCAGACCCCCTACCCATGCACATGTCTACCATCTTGTTTACACATGGGTCATAAATGACATGGTCCTTTTTGTGTTTTGGGAAATCTGACCTCGTTTGATTTGATGAGGTCAGTAGGAATCTGGGTTTGTTCCTGAGGTTTACAAACTTGGTCATACCCAGGTCTCTGATGACATGTATCTGATGTTATGATATTACAGTATCAGATTGAGTTAAATCAATATGGCTTACTAAATTAATTCCCTTAAAAACCTATAATACACTTCAGGGACAGTTTTCGTGAATTGCCTCATTAGGAAAAATCAGATTATCCTCCAGTCATATCATTAACAATTTGAGTGTCTTCTCTCAAAACTCTTATTTCACCAGAGACAGTCATCGACCAGCAATGTTTAAAATGTTTAAAAGACAGAGAATACAAGAACATAGTATTTACCTAGAAATAAATTCCTTGGCTTTAGGTAAACACTTTTACTTTCCTCCTGGTTCTGTTCTATCCTGAATTTCATCCCAAGTATAGTGTTTTATTTTCCACAGGAGTTTACCAGAATAATATACACTAATGGCTTGAAGAAAAGTAAAAAGCAAATAGTATAAACTGAAGTTCATGGTATCTAAGCAATAGAATTGGCATTGACCAGCAACACCCATTCCACACTTATCAGAAGATGTCCTTGTGGAAGTCTCACATACTCCTATCCATTTGTACGACTGTTTATTTATATTAGTTCTGCCACCATCTAGATATTAGCACCATTTTTCAATAGCACCATTCTGCTGAATGGACAGATAACTAAAGAGAGATAGGGGACTCTGTGTCTCATGATTAAGTGTATCTGTGCATGAGTCTGAAAATATACGGCCCTTTACATGAAGGCCACCTCCTCCCCATATCAAGAATTAGTTCTGAGGTCTTCTTCTCTTGGGGCTTATACTCCTCCTTCCACCTTCCTTCTCTCCAAGTTCCTGAAATTGGTTTATGCTCTGGATTCAAGATCACAGCCTATTGTCTTGATCACCTGATGGGAGGTAGGAACATCCAGAATAAGAACTTTAACTTTCACTTCAGTTTTTTTGACTCTCCTGACTTGCCCCTACCCACAAGGTAAATATCGGTATTTTCAATTCTATCTTTTTTGGGGAATTGCTGAGGATCAAACTCAGGACCTCCTGTGTGCTAAGTCCTCTGAGCTACATCCCTAGCAGTAAAAGACCTTTAAAAATAAACTTATGGGTACACTGAGGCACAGATAATCATTACATCACTTTGAATAGTTTTCCCCCCTTTCAACTTAAGCGGGGAAAGTTTGCACTAATTTCTTGTACTTAATATGATTTACTTGGTTTTTTGAAATACTGTCATGCAGGGTTCTTTTTCCTGCCCTAGGGGAGGTGAGGGTAAGTGGCAGCCTCATGTTGGTTGTAATGATCTTTGTACACCAAGACAATATTGGGACCTGAGCTTGTGACACAGGCAGGCATCAGGAAGAACAAATGAAGCAGGGAACCTCACTTGCTGTTCTGTGAAGGAATGGGTACATGCCAGGAGAGTGGGAGGAACAAAGGGCTCACATTTCCTGTCTTTTGCTAGAAAGAGGGACATCAGTTCATTGGCTTTTCAAGATTTTGCATAGAAATTGTCCTCAAGTTGGGAATGTGTTCTGTGTAACCAGCCTAAATTCCTTAGGCTGAAGCTGATATCTGTGTCCTTGTAGTCTAGGGTCTTAGACACTAAACAGTCCAGCTATGGAGTCCTACATGGATCGAGGGGTAGATTGAGGGATGCTGTCAGCACACTCTCCTCCTGTCCTCAGGAACACTGGACAAAGAAAGCTGTTCTCTCCTGGACGGATGCATGAAAGGAATGTTCCTAAAAGCTCCCCATGACCTTTTAAACAGCAGCTGCCCCAGGCAGGTGTGGGGAAGAGAATGTATTCTTCAAGGTGAATTTAAAAGATCATTTGTTCCCTGGGTAATTATGGCTCTTTTTCCTGACACTTTTGAGGTAGACTGGGAAAAACCTGGTCTGTTTTCATCTTTAAGGGGGAAAAAAACATCATTTCACACACCTGCCTAATCTTTCACCTTTTGTAGGAGCTGATCCCAGGTGATGTGGGGTTCTCCTAGATATTTTACCTTCCTATCAGGGAACACCAAGGGTGAAAGTCCCAGGCTTCCTGTAAGGGACATTCTGTGGCTAGAAGAACGCAGTTGTTTTGTTTCGTTATGACCCAAAGTTGAACCTGAAATGTGTAAAGCAAAACTTCAATGACGTGGCCCCCAGGACCCAAATATGTTCTGGTCAGCAAGTTGCTGCAGTCTAGGGTGGAGGATGGCTTCCTTCTGGACTTAGAAGGGCTTTTTGAGTGACTGTTGCCTTCTTTGTCTCTGGGTCTGGACGTGTGCCTGGGGGCATGAGAGGCAGCACTGAGCCCTGATGGTGGGCACAGAACATTTCTTCATGCCCTTCAGTGTCTGGCAGAAGCTGGCTGACAGCCTGTCATTGGTGCAAAGTAAATCTGTGGGCAAAGAAAAAAAAGAGAGAGAGAGAGGTTGGGGGTGGGGGTAGGGAGAAAAATTAGAAGATTATCCTTTGTAAGTAAATGAGCACAACTTCTATTCATGTCAAACTTTATATGTCTACCAAGAAAGGACCTGTAGCTATTCATAACAATAGAAGATGTTCAATGAACATTTGCTGTTTTTTCTTTTTCCATATGTTTCATTGGTGCATTATAAGTAACAGTGGAGTTTGTCGTTACATGTTTGTATATGCATGTGATATAACAATGTAATTTGGCCAATTCTGTTCCCCAGTATTTCCCCTTTTCCTCCTCTCCCCTCTCCCTGGGGGTCTCTTTCCTCTACCTACTGATCTTTCTTTTCTTCTTAAGAAATTCCTCCCACCTTTCTTTCCCTTATCCTGTCTAGCTTCCACCTATGAGAGAAAACATACAACCTTTGACTTTCTTTATTTTCTTGCAAATTACTGAATAATGGCTGAATAAAACTTTGCTGTGTTTATATAACACATTTTCTTTATCTTTTCATCCACTGACAGACACTTAGGCTGGTTCCATAGTTTGATTATTGTGAATTGTACCCCTATACACATGGGTGTGCATGTATCACTCTCGCATGATGACTTTAGAGTAAATGTTGAGGAGTGGTAAAACTGGGTCACCAGGAATGATTGCTCCATTCTTAATTATTTTTGGGTAACTCCATACTGATTTCCACAGTGGTTGTACTAATTAAGAATCCCACCAACTTTTCTCCTACATCCTCTCCAGCATTTATTATTTTTTAAAATTCTAATTTGTTATATATGACAGCAGAATGTATCACAATTCATATTACACATATAGAACACAATTTCATGTCTCTGGTTGTATACAAAGTACATTCACACCATTCATGTATTCATACATAGGGTAATGATGTCCATCTCATTCCACCATCTTTTTTATCCCCTGGTCCCCTCCCTTTCCTTCCCTCTCCTTTACTCTATCTAGAATTTGTCTAATCCTCCCTGCTGAGAGCCGTAGCCAAGTAGGAATGATGCATGGCATTTTTGGTTGAAAGGTGACCCCAGCAAGCCATTGAGATGATAACGATTATGTTAAGATGGGCATTCAATTGGAGATTAGACCCCTGCTGTCTGCCTTGGCCTGCTACTTTGGAGCTCTCATGGGACTCCCCGGAGAGTTCCCATTGGTTAGGGAAGTGCAGTAGGAGGGAATTCCGGAGGAGGGATTTCCTGTGGGCGTAGTGTGTCTGGGGAGAAGGCCACGTGCGTGGCTTTGGCGGGAGTTTTGGAAATAAAGTTTGTTCCTGCTTCAGTGGCTCTTGATTTGTGCCCAGCCAGACTGTGGCACCTCCCATGCTCCCCCTCCCAACCCAACTATGAATCAGCTCCTTATATCAGAGAAAACATTCTGCATTTGGTAATTTGAGATTGGCTAACTTCACTTAGCATTATGTTCTCCAACTCCATCCATTTACGTGTAAATGCCATGATTTTATTCTCTTTTTGCTGAGTAATATTCCATTGTGTATATATACCATATTTTCTTTATCCATTCATCTACTAAAGGGCATCTAGGTTGGTTCCACAGTTTAGATATTGTGAATTGTGCAGCTTGGGAGCAAATTTTTACCACTTGCACATCATAGATAGAGCACTAATCTTTAGGGTATATAAAGAACTCAAAAAGCTACACACCAAAAAAACAAAAACCAATCAATAAATGAGCCAAGTGTCAACTGAACAGACACTTCTCATAGGAGGATATATAATCAATCAACAAATATATGAAAAAAATGTTCAACATCTCTAGCAATTAGAGAAATGCAAATCAAAACTACTCTAATTAAAGATTTCATCTCACTCCAGTCAGAATGGCAGCTATTAAGAATACAAACAACAATAAGTGTTGGCGAGGATGTGGGGAAAAAGGCACATTCATACACTGCTGGTGGGACTGGAAATCAGCAATGGAGATTCCTTGGAAAACTTGGAATGGAACCACCATTTGACTCAGCTATCTCACTCCTCAGTCTATACCCAAAGGACTTAAAAACAGCATACTCCAGGGACACAGCCACATCAATGTTTATTGCAGCATTTATTATTGTTTGTATTCTTGATGACTGCCATTTTGACTTGAATGAGATGGAGTCTCAGTGTAATTTTGATTTACAGTTCCTTAATTGCTAAAGATGTTGAACATTTTTCATATATTTGTTGGCTATTTGTTATTTCTTCTTTTGAGAATTGTCTGTTTAGTTTGTCCAATTATTAATTGGGTTATTTGGGGCTTTAGTGGTAAGTTTTTTATATATTCTGGATATTAATATTCTGTCAGAAAATAGATAGTAGAGATTTTCTTCCATTTTCTAGGGTCTCTCTTCATATTCTTTATCATTTCTTTTGTTGTGTAGTTTTTAAATTCAATGTCATCTGACTTGTTAATTCTTGGTATTATTTCCTGAGCTTTAGAAGTCTTATTGAGGAAGCCATTGCCTGTGCCTGTATGTTGGAGTGTTGACCCTATGTTTTCTTTGAGGAGTTGCAAAGTTTTTCATCTAATTCCTAGGTCTTTGAAACATTTTGAGTTGATTTTCATGCAGGGTGAGAGAGAGGAATCTAGACTCTTTCTTCTACATACCGATAATCAATAATCCCTATTCTCAGTACCCTTTTTTGTTGTTGTTAACAAATCTGTTCTTTCTTCAGCATATGTTTGTGGCGATTTTTCCTTTTTTTAATCTCTGATTTTATTAATTTGGGCTTTCTCTGTTTTATTTTAGCAGTCTGGCTAAGGGTTTATCTATCTTGCTTATCTTTTCAAAGCACCACCTCTTTGTTTCATTGATCCTTTGAATTTTTAAAATTATTATTCTCTATTTAATTAATTTCATCTCTGATTTTGTTTAATTAATTAACTTATTTGGTACTGGGGATTGAACCCTGGGGTGCTTTACCATTGAGCTATACCCCCAGCCCTTTTTAATTTTTATTTTTGACACAGGGTCTCACTAAGTTGCTTATGGTCTTGCTAAATTGCTGAGGTTGGCCTCAAATTTGCAATTCTCCTGCCTCAGCCTCCTGAGCTGCTGGGATTACAGGTGTGCACCAGGGTACCTGGCTCTTGGCTCTGATTTTAATTATTTAATTATTCCTTTTACTGGTTTTGGAATTAAATTATTAAATTAATATTAATTATTAAATTAAATTATTCTAGGGCCTTGAGAATGCATCATTGTGTTCTTTATTGTGATCTTTCTGATTTTCTAATGTAGGCACTAATAGCTATAAACTTTCCTCTTAGAACTGCCTTTATAGTATTGCAAAGGTTCTTTGATATTGCATCTGTATTCTCTTTTGATTCTAAGAATTCTAAAAATTTCTCCCCTGATTTCTTCTATCATCTGTTTATCATTCCAAAGTGTCTTGTTCAATCTCTATGGGTTTATGTAGTTACTGTGGGTTTGTTTTTAGTGTTGATTTCTAATTTTATTCCAACATATTCATGTAAAATGAAAGAATTTTACAGATTTTTTTTTTATTTGCTAAGAGTTGCTTTATGGCCTAAAATATAGTCTATTTTAGAAAAGATTTCATGAGTATCTGAGAAAAAAGTGAACCCAGATATTGCTGGATAAAATATTCAATAGATGCCTGTTAAGTCCATTTGATTTATAATATGCTTTAGGTCAGAAGAGGCTTTGCTGAGTTTATGTCTAGATGACCTATCTATTGTTCAGAGAAGTGTGTTGAAATGATCAATATTATTGTGATGGGGTTTATCTGAGTCTTTAAGTCAAGTAGTGTCTGTTTTATGTAATTAGATGCACCAATATTGGGGCCATAAGTATATACTATCATTATATCTTCTTGTTGGATTGCTCCCTTTACCTGTAAGAAGTGACCTTCATTGCTTTTCTGATTTATTTTGGCTTGAAATCTGCTGTGTTGGATATGAGAGTAGCTACTTCTGCTTGTTTGGGGGCTTCATTTGAATGATATATCAATTTCCATCCTTTCAATTTCTGTCTGTGGCTGTGGTTGTCTTTGCCTATAAGATGAGCTTCTTGCAAACAGCATATAGTTGCATCTTATTTTTTAATCCATTCTGCTAGCCTGTCTTTTAATTGGAGAGTTGACCAATTACATTTAGTGCTATCACAGAGATAGTTATTAATTACTGTCATTTTGATTTATTTCTGCTGTTTAATTTGGTTCTATTTCTCATTTGCTTAGCTATTCTTCAAATGTGATTTGCCCATTTGTGAGTTCTGGAGTTGTTTTTGATTTTTCTGTGTGAATTTGTAAGTATTTTCCATATTGCTGGCTTAGCAGTTATAAATTCTTCCTTACTAAATTTCTCATTCATATCTTATATGACTTCCTTTACAAATTCAGTTTTTGTGTGTGTGTGTGTTCTTTTGGAATTCATTGATCATTTTTATAATAATTCTTTTGAAGTCTTTCTCTGATATTTTATTGACTTCAATATCTTTGGGGTCAGTTGTTGGTGAACCTTAGGAAGTGTCGTGTTACCTTGTTTTTCTGGTAGCTGTGGTTTAGCTCTCATCAGGCCTGTGGGACTTTGGTGGATGGTATTTGCCCTGGAGAAATCAGACTAACACACCCATAGGATTGGACAGATTCTGATCTCTGCCGTCTGGATCTCACAGGCTTCCCAAGAATTCTTACTAGTAGTTCAGGGAGTCAACCCTCCACAGGTTTTACACACGGCCCATGCACATGGCCTTCCCAGGCTCAGTCATCAAGTGTAATCATGCCCACCTGCTCAGTATCCCAACCCTCTCCAGCTGGTCACCTCCTAAACCACAAGACTTAAAGGGAAAGTGAGTTGCACTCACCCTCACATGTCTGACTTGAATTCCCTTGGGTACAATCTTCTCTGTGCCTGCTTCACTCACAGCTAGATCCATTCTAGGCTATAAAGAGTACTCACAGTGTATTCTTGCTGAGATAGTATGGCAGTAT